CATCCATCCATCCATCCATCCATCCATCCATCCATCCATCCATCCATTTTCCACTGCTTATCCGTGGCGAGCACAGAAGTCCAAAAACAAAACACCACTCAGGCTCAAGCTGGGGGGGGACATTCCTCCCAACCACGCCCCTCCAGGTCTCACTGTCATTGCCCACGTGAGCGTTGAAGTCCCCCAGCATCACAAGGGAGTCCCCAGAGGGGGCACCCTCCAGCACCCCCTCCAAGGAATCCACAAAGGGTGGGTAGTCTGCACTGCTGTTAGGCGCAAAAGCACCAAAAACAGTAAGCACCCGTCCCCCCCACCCAAAGGCGAAGGGATGCTACCCTCTCGTTCACCGGGGTGAACCCCAACGTACAGGCACCAAGATGGGGGGCAATGAGTATGCCCACTCCTGCTCGGCGCCTCTCGCCGGGGGCAACTCCAGAGTAGCAGAGCGTCCAACCCCTCTCGAGAAGGCTGGTTCCAGAGCCAGAGCTGTGTGTCGAGGCGAGACCGACTACGTCCAGCCGGAATCTCTCCACCTCGCACACCAACTCAGGCTCCTTCCCCAACAGAGAGGTGACATTCCACGTCCCTAGAGCCAGCTTCTGCAGCCGGGGATCGGTTCGCCAAGGTCCCCAACTCCGGCTCCCACCCGTTCCACATTGCACCCATCACCTTTGGCCCCTCTTATGGGTGGTGAGCCCAATGGAGAGGGGACCCATGTGGCCTCTTCGGGCTTAGCCCGGCCGGGCTACATGGGCTAAAGTCCCACCACCAGGTGCTCACCAAAGTGCCCCACCTCTGGGCCTGGCTCCAGAGTGTGGCCCCGTTGACCCGCATCCGGGCGAGGGTACACTTGGCCCATTCGTGTTATTCATTTAAAGGGGTCCTTTGAAAACATTTTCATATTCATATTCATTAAGATATCAGGATATTGTTTTAAAAGTGTTAAAAATGGCCTTAATATGCCACCTTTATAACCTCATAAGTTAGTGCGTCAAATAATGGAGGTGAGTGGGAATCGGAACTCTTTGCATCAGTTTACTGATATGAATTTAATACTGATACTGATTAATTTAATACTATATTGATTCAACACACGGTGGCTCTTACTGAATACTGAAAAGCATTTGTAACAGCATTTAATGCTTGCAATGTCATATCCAAAGGCGTCCATAGGCGTCTGTAATAATCCTTCCAACCCTCTGGGCGGCTGTAGAGTGAGGAAACTTAGCTTCTACCACCGAGAGAGAAACCGTAGAAGAAGAAGTAAGTGACGTCAAAGGCGAAACTGTCAACATGGAGGAGGACCAAGATCCTTCCACGAATTCACTTCTGAAAGATGGTAAAAAGTTCTTTAAGAATTGTCTAAGATGAAAGACTTGTGACTTTTCCAGCTCTCCTCGATAATTTGTAGCGGTAGCATGTGCTGTTTTTTTTTATTCGACTCCGTGTACGGGGAAAAAAAAAAGAATGTACGCACCATTCATGAGTGCTGTCGCTATAAATAAGAGATACTATGGTAGCAGGTAAAGAGTCTGCAGTTATTCAGTTGGGTTTCAGAGACGCCTAGAGACAAAGAGCGCACTTGGCTGGCTAACATTTGAGAATGAGGACGTGTCGCTTTCTTTTTCAGAGTGCTATACAGATTTTCTGACGGACGACTTTGACGTGAAGACATACACTGCGCAGGCTATCCACCATGCTGTCATCACCGAGCAGCTGGCCAGGCTGGCACAGGGCATCAGTCAGCTGGACAAAGAGCTGCACAGCCAGGTACCTGCCGACCCACCACACCTGCTCACTGGTAACTGCTGTCATCCATGGAGCAGCTCTGTTTCCGCCAAGGAATCTAGAAAGTACTGTTTCCTACTGCACCCATTCTCTACCATTTATACATCAGTACTTGGAGCAATACGAAAAATGAGAAAACCATAAAATGATGTGTGTCATGCACTTTGAAGTACACAAGTCATAGCTATTCAATTGGAAAATCATACATTTTTGTTACTACAAAGAAGAGAGACAGGACATTTAAAAAAATGTTCTAGCTTTAAGTTGAAAATAAATGGAGGGTTAAGTCAGAGGACAACAGATTATGTGCTCACTCTAAACAGACAACCCTTTGTTTAATCTGGAATACAACATGAGTCATCTTAAAACAAGACATGCTTCACTGGATATTTATTGCTTTCTGTTATTTCAGGTTGTGGCGAGACATGAAGACTTAGTCTCTCTTAGGCTAGAGGGAGTCTCTTGAATGTAAAAAAAAAAAAAAACTAAACAAAACACAAACAGACAAATACTTGTGTTTGTCGTCTGTGGGCTTTAAGAAATTTGCTGTTTCACTTTATTTCTTCACAATCATTTGCGGTCTGGTCGTAGTCAGAATTTTGTCAGCCAAATAAGAGTAGCAGCATTGTTTAGTTACATGAAGAAATTAAACTGATCATTTTTGCAAAATTTCTGCTTATTAAGCAAAAGCAAGCGTCCACATTTGTGTGGTTTTATTGTTATTGTAACGGTGAAACATTGCAGATTGGCTGTTATGTTAGTTGGTATTTATCAGATACGTTACTGCTGCTGATTGTGTCCACACTTTTTAATTATGTTTGTATTCATTTCTGGGATATCTCACGTCGTCATTATGTTCATCTTTGGGAACCAGCTGCTCACCCTTTGCAGTTTCTCACCTCCACCCAAAGGTGGAGCCAGAGCTGTTCCTGCTAAACGGCGAACCCCGGCGCTCTGAAATGACATGTCGTGTTTGCAGGTGTCCTTCAAATGATGCAGACGAGGATCAGCGCGCTACAGGCTGCCGTTGACAGGTGAGTGACTGAAAAATCAAAGTATGTTTAAAGCCCCAAACAGTCCTTTTGGTGTTGTTGGCCAACCAGCATGTTCAGCTTCTAACAAATGTGGACTATAAACTAAACCCTGTCCTTTTCACCTTGTTCACGCGTCTTATTAAAGTAAGATCTTTATCTCTAATAGTCCCGGCTGATTACATGTTTTGTTGAATGATGTCAAAACACTATTAGTTTTGTTTATTTTATGGCTATGATGGATTTATGAACATCTGCGATATGATGGGGGCATCAGGCACCAAGACTTGACGCTCAGGACAACTTTGTTTTTCTTCCTATTGACATGTCGATACAACCTCAGTTTTGAGCTCTACATTGGTTAGGTTTCAGTCCAGGGCCGGATGCACACAACCAAATGTTTTTTGGGGTGGCATTGGCTTTTATGGTACACGCTACAAAGCATTTTTCATAAAACAATTTCATCCATCCTGCTCAGTATTATAGTTATTTTAAAGTTGTTTTTTTTTACACTATATTCAAAGTCTCTGTACCAACTCTCTCTACCAAAAATATTCAGTGGAAGACTTCTCTAAAGATTCTGATTTTCCAGCAGTGGATTATGTGAGAGGGTTCCATACCGCTAACATCCCATGATGCATCTGCACATCACCTTCTCCTCCTGTTCCTGCTGGGTAAGGGGGCTTTAGGGTCTGCTCTGGTTTTCATCATTGTGAAGCTACTTTAATTCTCTTTGACATACTTTTTCAATGCAACTTATCCAGAAGAACCCCTCTTGATTAATCGTGCATCTTTGGAAAAAAAAATAAAAATAAATGAAGCTTGGTGTGTGGATAGTTAGTTAAACTTTCACTAGGAAGCCTCTTTTGAGTTTAGATTCTAAAAATTGGTTAAGCCAGGTGTACAATACGATTCGTAGTTCAGGGCCCTGGTAAATCTGGACACTGCTACCTTCTCCTGCAGGACGGTCTGAAATTGGTGAAATGTGTGTCCAGAATATGACAGTCTGGGTTTAAACAGAAGCAGATCTTCCTCTAATGGAATCCATTCACACTGACCAAAGCATGCTTTTCTCTCCAGGATAAGGACAAAGATCGTTGATCCCTACAACAAGATCGTGGCTACGATCACCCAGTTAGCCAGGCTGCAGGTAAACACAGAGTTTACTCAATCTACCCCACGTTATGACAAACTGTGCATTATCTTTAACTGTATGATATGTTTGCTTTTCATTCTTATCAGCTTTTAGTATCTGAATCTGTTTGACACACTAAAAATGCATTGTTTACTTCCTTTTTCTGCAGAACCCCTCAACTCTGTCAACTCTGGCACCTGCTCTGCATGTGGGTACCAATTCCGGATGTGAAATACCATCGAGGCTAAAATAAAGAAAACAAAGAGGAGGTTAAGCTGGGAAGTAAAGACACGACTCAGCGAGCTGTTACATTAACTTTTATGATTTTCTTAAATTAGTTTTGAAAAGGTTACAAAAACA